CGTGCAGCATGGCTTTGTGTGATTCTCGGTTTTGCTCTGAGATGCAATCCCTCCATGCTTGCTTGGAGCTGAGCAGTCCTTCCCGAGCCGAGGCCAGTGATTTCCTCCTGGATGGCACTCCGGAAGGCGACCTGTCTGACGGTCTGCCAGCTTGCCTACGCCTGCTTGTATTTGTGGATTTCAGGGCCTCCAGAGCTTCCAGGCCCTGCTCCGTGCAAGCAGGCTCCTGCTGGTCCAGAGACGGGCCAGGGATCCTCTGCCTGAAGAGCCCGAGACCTCAGCCCCCTGAGTCCCGTCCTGGAGCGAAGATGCCAGAACCCGAGCCCGTATCCGCAGCAAGGCCTTCCGGACTTGATGCCACGGAGGACCGCAGGTTCTCGAGAGGAAAGGCCTCCAGGAAGCGACGAGCTTTGTCGGCTCCCTGCGTCAGACCCGTCTTCAAGCAAAAGGGTCCAGCCACGACCTCATCAGGGTGTCTGCAAAGCTCTCTGAAGTATCGGCCACACAGCTGGACGAACTCCTCCATGGCCAAGTCAAACAGAAGTCTGAAGGACAATGCAACATTCCGATTTCTGATCGAATCCCCCAACCCCGTTCTCAGTTGCCAAGGCCTGAATTCCGTCTGTGGCTCAGACACTTGCGCGATAGTACTGCTTCTGGCCCTGGTCAGCCAAGCTCGAGAGCTTGTTGGGCTTTGCAAGCCCCTCTCAGACTCTCCCGCACCCGGCGGTGGAGGTGGAGCCCCGCCATGCCAGATTTGCCTTGCCTTCACGAAGCTATGGGAAGGTCAAAAACATAAGTCCAACGGGGCCCTCGGCTGTCCAGCTTCTGTGCTACAACTTTTATACGCTGCCACATGAAAAGCTCTGCCCAGACTGGACTTTGTGCGCAGCTCTTAGCTGCAACTTGCCTGCCCTTCTGGGAGGGGCGGCATGAAGCACGGCCTTCGCCAACGCAGCGAACTTTGACACAGCATTTCACAGCTTGTCAAAAATCCAGAGATTTGGAAATCACACCGAGAAGCAAAAAGCTGCTTGGGCGGCTCCTGCTAGGCTGCGCTTCCGCACCGCAGGCGAGGCCCTCGATGATTCTCCGGCCTTGGTACGAGCGGCCGCAGTTGATTGAGGGTCTGGTAGAATCTGGAACGCCAAACCAGATTCTCAACTGCCCATTCTGGGGCCCAGGACTCTCCTGGCCAAGATCCACCTACGTGGATCGCATCAGCAACAGAGCTACCGCTGCTCCGTGCCCGTGCGAGATCGTGTCAGACTTCAAACCCAATGTATCCAGCTTCCATTAGAGGCTCTTAAACACAAGACAATGGGGTCGATGTGCACCTCTCCAGTGCCAGGCGTTGAGCTTGATTGAAGCTCTTTAGCCTTGGTGAGGACATGAACTCGATGGTCGTTCTGCACCTGTCTTGCAATCCCCGAATGAAACGAGGACTCGGCGCGAACTGCCGCTCCGATGGCGACAAGCGCTGGAGGAGGGCAAAAAGCTTGGCCTGGCAGAGGCACGGCTTCGCACTGCCAAGTAAGCACCGGGCCGACTTGACTAGCTTCTACCCTCCAAGATCAAGGTTCAGTAAAGAGCTCGTAGGTCAGTTCGAGAGTCTCGGCTGAGAAGGCATTCATGGCTTGTGGCCTTCTGAATTCGATGATGGTGCTGGCGGTGACGGCGACGACCCGGAGATGATGGCGATGACTTGGAGCATGCGGGTCGTGGTACGTACAAGTATGGTGATGATCAGGGAGGGAGATGCTGGTGATGACCGTCATGGTCAACGTCATCGATTTCATCATCATGAATCATACTCGACATCATCCAAGGTAGTCTTCCTCCCAAGACACGGCAAACTGCTTGAAGCCTCGGCTCGGTTCCCCTGGTCGAACCGCACCTGGCGCAGCAGGCAATGCGAACGAGATCCCCCTCCGGAGCTTTGAAGTTGAAGATTCCAGAAAAAAACTGCCTTGCGTCGGGGTCCAAGCTCCATGGCTCCTGCCTCCTACCGCAGGCGACCGCAGGTCAGTCTTCGCACACCGGGCTTTTGTCACAGGACCGCCATGGCCTTTGAGGCGCTTCGCACAGTGAGCTCTTCGCCTCGCAGAAAGCGCGAAGTCTGCAGCAACTCGGTCACTCCCCGAGGCCGCCCGAGGCCAAAGCCTGAGGCTTCACAGTGGCCCAGGGACCTGGAAGGTTGCGCAGAGCTGCAATCTGCGAAGCGAAACCCAAGAGAAGCTGTTGTGGTCCCTCAGAGGTTCGCATGGCTGTCGAGGCTGACTCGCGGCGCCTGGAAAACACTCAGCGTTGCCGGAAAGACAAAACGGCCTGTCACAGAATCTTAGGAACAGACGGTCGCTGCAACGACAGCCGCTAGTGTGCAGAATGCACCCGCTGCCTCCTGCGCATGCAGACGCACTAAATTTGTGCTGTTGTCAGACACACGTTCGGTTGTCCTCCAAGACCAGTCCACGCTCTTGCTCCCACATCTAAGCCTGTCACTGGTTGGCTTTCTTGCAGACTTCGGCGCTGCGGTCGGCACTCAGAGGTCAAGCACTTTAACAAAGCTTGTTCCAAGCTAGCAGCTAGAAGCATCGTCACACCCGTCACGGTAGACCCGGTAAACTACGAAATAGCTAAAGGCTGGCAGGAGCCACTCTTGCATTATGTTGACTCATCGGGAATTCGTGCCCCGTCGCCTCTTACCTATATCTGCAATTAATGCGGCAGAGATGCGGTAGTAGTTCCGGTAGTAGTGGTAGTAGTACCTTGTGCAGGCATGAAGCTCGAACCGTCACTGCCAAGTATAATCGAACGCCGGCAAGGCACCACCGGTAGTGGTAGTGGTAGTAGTCCTGTCATCGCCAGTTCCGGACATGCCCAATGACCAGCGCATTGACAGCTGTCCGGGTGGTGATCTGGTGGTGGTGGCGAAGGTCTCCGAGGATGGGGAGGTGGAGGAATCTGCAGAGAGCACGGGCAAGGCCAAGCACGAATTCAGAGCTACTTGTAGGTGCTTGGGCGGTAGCGCGGCAACGGACATCACGTTGGAGGACATGGTTGCAACCTGCACGGAAAGTTCTGGGGCGGTTCTGGCTCTTGCGGCTCAAGTCGTCAAGTCACTTCTGGTCTGGCCTTTGGAGCCCGGAGGCAAAACAGGACAGCAGACTTATATCAGAGCTAACAGCCGCGGGTGGAGCTGTGCTGTGAGGCGAATTATGTGGTGATTGCGGTGACTCTCCGAGACGCGTCACTGGTCGACTTTGTATGTCATGCCGGTGCCTGCTCACGAGCTGCTACCAAGTTTTTCCCGCGAGACGAACTCTGTACGGTGTGCGGCCGCCAATGGTGGCACTTGGCTCAAACAAGCGGCGCGGGTGCCTAGACATCTGCTGACAGTAATCAGCGCGAGAAGCATCAACTGTTTCCAGGGGGAGGACGAGGTCCTCCCAAAGTTGCTCTCGGCATTCAGTACCCTTCCAGGATTTTGCAAACTGCCTGGCTTTCGGCGAGTCTTGCCGCCAAGGGCAGATGGAAGATGAGATTCTACCAAAAAAGGCACGAAACTCGAAGTTCAAGACTGAGTGCCTTGGGAGCAGCTCAGCCTCTCCGGCTAGGCTGCCTGCAGCTTTTGATATGCATCTTACAGATCTTCGTTGATCTGCATGAGCATGCAGCCGGAGGTGGCTGGGGATACCAGCTTTGCGTGCCCTGCTGGCACCGTCCAACGATAGAAACGATCATGAATCGATAAGACTGATCCCAGCCAGGTGGCCAACAGTAACAGCCTGGAGGCATTCAGTGCTTATGCTGGTGCATAATAATTTCTGGGCAGTATAGTAGGCACAGAAAAGACTGTAAAGACATCCAGCCAAAGTTCAAAAGGGATCAGCCTTCGATTTTGTGCGAGATCAACTCGCTCACTCAGTAGACGGAGCCACGTCACCGCGACGCTAGCCGTCGATGTTCGAACAGTTCGGTGCTCCAAGTGTTGCCACGAAGGACATCACCACTGACATCGCTCGAGACCGCGGCGTCTCCGTGTCACAGTCATGTTTGTGGAGGGCTTAGGGCCTACTTTAGGGGCTTGTGCACCTCCAGTTTCAACCTTGCACAAACGACTGATGACGACTCGCGGCACCTCAAAGGTTTCGGATTGGTTGTGCGGCAGCCGGCAGCTGTACATGATTTGCATCTACCGGGACATCACAACTTCTTTACACATGCCCAAGGCAGTCAGAATGCCGTATCGAAACTTAGCATCTTCACCTTGAACGGACAGTCTTGCGGGAAGCTTCCCGAGGCTCGGCTTCAACCCTTAAATGGGGAGCGCCTGCTGGATCCCTGCGGGAGACCACTCAAGGATCCGCCGCGTGCCACGCTGGCACCGCCACGCTGGCAATCTACCTGGATCCTGAACCTCTACAGAAAGATTCAGCGCAAGCTGCGCTATCTTCAAGTTCGGACAGGAGTGGCCATTGGCTTCCTCTAAGCTACACCTGGCACACTCCCGCCGGCCCCGAATAGCTTTGAATAGGCTCGATTCCATTGTCCATTGTGCTTTCCGAGGAAGAAATTGTCGAGGCTTGAACCGGAAGCATGAAAAAGTCTGAACTCGTTTATCGCCCTGCCCTCAGGAGATCTGAGTTTTTCAGAAGCTCGGCACCCTGAGTTCAGTAGCACTGGAGACCACGAATCATCAGGTCTCCTGAGACCCCATCATGTTGGGTCGCCACTGTTGAGTGACCGATGGGCCCACAGGGCGGAGTATTGTGACCGGCAAGGAAAAGCCCGTCAAACCATCAAACCATCTCTGCGAGGTCGAGGCACAAAAGCTTTCGGTCGAAGTCGCAATCACAAGAAAAACCTCAGCTCAACCTCTGCAAGGTGGGCGAAAAGGGTACCCTTCGGACCGCACGTTAGAAAGTGATAAGCATGACCGGAGACGGAGAGTGGGCGCCGTCTGCTTTGTGCAAGCACCCAACAATCAGAGTCACGCCTCAGAAAATTGCTTTGGCCCGAAAGTCTCCCAGCCCAGCGCCGCCTTCCTGGACAGAACAACGAAAGACATCCAAAGCCAACGAAAGGCGCCGCAGCAAAGGGCCGCCTCCCACGGATGCTGCGCAACGCATGCCGCCTCAGCCGCACCGAGCACTGAGCGCCTTCTGCCCGAACCGGAAGGCCCCAGCGGCCTCGAAGTCGAACTCGGAGACGGGGGAGCTCAGGCCTGGCGCAGAGCAGAGCTGGAACAGCCATCTCCCAAACCTTGCTCCCGTCACTGCCAATTCTCCGTTAATGGCCATTACATGGCACTGGGGGGCGCACCGAGAGTATCGTCATCTGTGCCATGCCCATGCTCCATAACCACCTGCAGCCGCCAAGGGGAGCCAACAAAAGCTTCTCAGCTCCGAGCGCGGGGCTTCGCTGGACCGGTCATCCCCACTCCAGCCTTGGGCTTTGCCCAGTCCGGTCATGCCAAGCCAGGCGAGAAAGCTGACAGACGCAATCCAACCAAGGCTGGGCACACGAGACGGTGCTGGAGTCACCCGCTTCCTCCCAGGTTGCAGTGCGATTAGGCATGATGAGACTCAGCCAGCCGGCCGCCCCCAAGAGTTTTTTGTTCTTTGGGGGCTCTGTTTTGCACAGACATCCAATGCTTAAGATCAAGTTTCCTCAGATTCCTGTTCACTTCATTCCTGGCCCGTGAGGTGAGCTGAGGTGAGCTGCAAATCCACCTAAATTAGCACTTTGCCAAAGGGCCGAGGAAAACCTCCCGAAAGCAGGAGCGTCCCGCCTCTATTGCCTGCTTGGTGTAGTCATGTATGCTGCTGGCTTCGAGCCTCGCCTCGCACTCAGGAATTGTCGAATCAAACGCGGTGCCATGTGAAGAACGGAACTTCCGCCTCTTCTTCCAGTGTGGGACGAGGCCTTCGTGCAAGAGCCTTCGGGTGCGATGTCCGGTGGAGCTTCAGATTCACCCTCCAGCGCTTCAGAACGCCTGTCGACTCGCCGATGCGGCAGCAGCTTCCGCCCGCATCTGCAGCATTTGCTCTCTCATTTGCCTCACAGGTGATGTGTCAAAGGCTCTCGCCTCTGTAACAGCGAGGTCCCTCCTCTCACCGGGACCACCGTGCGCCAGGAAACCCAGCGAGGCAGGTTTCTGCCTGCCCGAGCTCAGTGCGGAGAGGGCCCAGGCCAGTCACAGCACTTCCAAACGAAAAAAAGCAAAGACCTCAAAAGGCTCCTCCTCTTTTCGGGGGCGCCTGTCGACTGGCTCTGCGAAGCGGAGAGGGACTTACGACGACTGCGAGCATGTGCAGTGCGACGATGTGCGAGGGCCAGGCCTTCTTTTTGCGGGCGCCGGCGCCGTGCCATCTTCGCCTAGCACACGGTCGCAGCATGGGACACAACACATCATCCATCATGCGAGTTCGAAACGGTGACAGCCTTGCTGGGAAGTCGATAGTCCGGAGCATCACAAGACCTGATGGCCGCAGCCAGAGCTTCACCGATCTCCACAGCCCGGCCACTGGGCTTGCCACATCGGCTGAGCTGCTCTTAACCTAGCAGGAGCTGCGACACGACGAAGCTGAAGCGATTGAACCACAACCATGGAAAGTCTGGAAACACCCCTGCCTCCGGCGAAACAGAGTGCAGGTCAAATAAATTACAAGCACGCGCTGCTTGAGATGTGCAAAAACTTCAGCGGATATTTGATGCATCAAAGAGCCGAACCGAGCTACGTGTAGTGCGCTGGACAGCCCACGGCTTTCCCCTGGCCCCCTGGCATCCCCAAGGACATCCTGAAGACTCCTGTACAAGGCCTTCAGACCGCGGGTGCAGACTTTGTGCACCCGGCCCCCCCCCAACTTCGCAAGGTCTTCGGCAGCAGAAGCGGTTCGCGATCATATGCAAAAATGAACTTTGGGGTACCGAGTACCGAAGACTTTGCACAATTTCACGCGAACATTAGTGGGCTGAGCTCCTCAGCCCGGGTCTTCGTGGGTTTCGAAGCGCTCGCTTCGGGGCGTGGCTGCGGCTTTGCATCGGTATGCTCGGCCGCCCCTTGCGAGCCTCGGAGGCTGGCAAAGCCCGAAGGTCACAAATCATTAGAGTGGCACGCTTGGAGCCCTGCGGCTTCTTCCAACCAAGATAAAGATGCAGGAAGGCGGCTGCGCAGACGCGAGCGCGGCTCCTAACGCGCACACTGCACGGATATGCACGGATGTGGGATCAGCCATGAACCAGATTCTTTTGTTGCAGCTTTTGCAATGCGAAGTTTCTGTGACTCTCCCGGGCTCTCTCACAACCCTGATGTGTAGTTTCCCCCCTTTGCCAGTCCTGTTTCGGAGCTGCGAGCGGCTTGAAACCTGGATGCAGAGAACTTTTGACCGGATTTTGACCAAAAAAACTTCGTGGCTCTTCGCGGACCTTCGTCCTCTTCTAACTCCAGCAGGGGCTCCAGGTCAAGATCTTGTGCCTGATAGCTGCATCAAAAGGTCACCACACTGAGCTCAGGTCCCGGCCTCCTCCTTTTCCATCTGCTCGCGCAGATTCTCCAGTGAGGTTTCCATCGCGGTCATCTCGGTCATGAGACCGGAGATGCGCCTGAGTCCCAGACGTCCATCAAGGCAGTAAAGAAGAAGCGTTCATGAGGCACGAGCTGCAGCACACGCTCCGGCGTGACGTCGTCAGCACCGCGCTGGTGCTTCGGCGTCGCCTGCACTGGGCTGAGCCTGTACCAAGACATTCGACGTAGGCTCTGCATCGGGCCTTTGGGCTGGCTTCCTGAGAGCCTCGGCTCCGGCCAAGATAAGTGGCAGAGGACACAAGCACTGCGCAATGTCCTGAAGGCAACTGCAAGAGTCAATGAGGCCTGGACTCCCGGACCTGAAAGGAAATACTTTTGGGGCACTCGATGCCCTCTCAGGGCCATGTTCTGCGGGCTCTACGGGCATGGTGACCTCTTTTCGGCCGCCTTTGGCAAGGCCTTCCCCCTCCCCTCTCGACCCCAGACTTGCCAGTAGATCCTTGTCAGGCCCTCCTGTGCCGGGCCTTCGAGGAGTCACTTTGGAGCTCAGCACAGCGACTCTGGTACAGCAAAGGTTGATCTCAAACGCTGCTCGTCCGATGAAAAACACGAGACTCAACCGTGCCATTGGGTCGCTGCTGCTTCTGTCGACACTGGCGTTCGTTAACTGAAAATATCAACAAGGATTGCGACGGCGGTTTCACATGGCAAAACACCTCAAGATGGCATTGAATTCATGTTGAAATGGCATTGTCAGCGATAGGCCGCTCCACACCGCCGTCAGTGAACTGCAGGTCTCGGCTTCCGCGGAACTCTGCTGCTCAGAGATAGCAAACCTGCCACCAGAAGGGCTAAGGGTGAAGGCTGTTCTTTCTCGGATCTGATGCGGAGAGGGCAGAGTGGCACAGGACAGGTGGCACCTTCCTGATGCTCTTGCTCTCTGTGACGACCACAGTGCCGTCCTGCTTGGGAGGAACTCAAAGAAGGAGAAGGACTCCATGTCTCTGGGAGTCTCTTTTTGTCCTTCTTTGTTGTCTTTCGCTTCTGCTCAGACATCACCTTAGAAAAGACCGCATGGGAGCGCATGGTCATGTGCGATGCAGCTGGCCTTGGTTTCCACGTGGGCATTGTTGTGCGCCTCGGCGGCGCAAGAGGTGCGAAACATTCAATCCGACCGAGCCGCGAAACAACCAAGTGGCCGACTCGGAACAGTCTCTGCTCCTTTACGGACTTCTTGCTCTCTGTGTGGGTGCCATCAGGGCCTGGCACACCGGAGAGCTTTCCGCATCCTGTCTTAGCGCATGCACTCTTCACCTTCGGCAAGATGGTTCCCCACAGCCAAAATAATTACGGCAAGAGCACCGAAAACACAAGGCCAAGAAGAGTTTCAGCCCAGAAAGCTGGTTGCGTCGGAAATGTCTTCCCAGGCACTTGAGGTAACCCTTCGTGGCCTGAAACCGTCGACGACTGCTCCCGAGCATTCTGCACGGCCTGGCCCAGCAGACAAACCTTGTTCAACTAACGGCAACCCGCGAACCCCATGTAGTCAAGGATGAAGCATTTCACACTCTTCTACTCCAAAAGACCGGCATTTACATCAAGCGTTGCGAGGTCAGCGACACCGCACTCATCGTCAGCACCAGCATCATGACCATCGCCGCATCGCCGTCATCAGCAACAGCATCACCACGCTGTCGCCATCAGGGTCGTGAAAAAATTGGCCTCGGCCCCGGCCGAAGCGGTCAGAGGTTCTCTCTTTCCCTTCCCAAAACCTCTTTCCCCTTTGCAATGAACCCCCCCCCCTTTTTTTGCCCTTAAGAAGTGTGCTACACCACTCAAAAAATTTGCTTTGGCTTCCACAAGTTCTGATCGCGGTTTGGGCACGTTGAGAAAACAACCTTGATTTGCTCCGGCGGGGGCCGAGGCGGACGATGCGAAATGTTTGCAATTACCACCATCACCAACAACTTCCTCATCACTGTCAACGGATGCCAATACCACCAAACCGTCATGAACCATCCCACTGTCACCATTGCAATGATCATCGCGACCATCATCACCACCGTAAAAATCGCCGGCAACATCTTCATCGTCTACACTTCAGATGATACTAATCGCGATTAAATCGTCTTCCCCTACGTTCGTCATCCCCTACGTTACCATCATCTCCTTCATCGCGATCATCAGCAGCAAGCAGCAACGCCAAGCATCATGATCGCCGCCTGTGTCTTCATTTTCATCAATACAATTCTACATCCTGAAGTCCTCGTCATCTACATGCACCGCCCCGCCACTACCACCACCACCACCACCGACACAAGTGCTTCCACGCCTGCGACGACAAGGACTACCACGACGACGAGCGTAGCAGCAGCACCACCACCACCACCACCACCAGTAGAACATCGTCGACCCCCACCGTCAGCATCAAGAAAATTCAAGAAATAATAATAGTACACCCCTTACCAATTACTCTTGGCACCATACGATCACCAATGCGGAAAGATGAAACTACGAGCGGCTCGGGCACGAAAACTAGCCTCAGCACGAACACTGCACCACTGGAATCCCTGAACAAACCCAAGAGTGACGCCAGCACCAGCGAACGGTAAGAAGCCACGAGACTGGCCATGGCCCCAAAAATTTCGTAGTCCAAAGCGAAATTCGCCGTCTCAGTCTCGGAGCCTTCAAGCCGCGGCCGCCCCCTCGCGACACCAGCGCCTCCTGGCCCGGCTCGGCCGCGGCTACCAGGGCCTGCGACGAAGCTGGGCATAGCTGGGCACTCTACGATGATATGATGAGCATGGTGAGGGCTGGAAGATGCACCCGCGATGATACGCTGAGGAGGATGGCGATGAGGCTTCTGCCCTTCAGCTGCTATTGCCTTGATTGATCTTGCTTCAACCCTTTGCAGTTGCAGTGCTCTCTGTCCTGCCACGCAAACCACAACTTCTCCTGGGACTCCTAGGTCCTACATCCCCTGCTAGGACTGCGAGCAGGACTCCGACGACAACGACTATCAACCACTCCTCCGCCTTCCTCCCGCACCTCTCCTCCATCACAACCGCTGCCATGGCCAGTTCTGAGATACTACTAGTCGCCAACCCTGCCGCCAGCTGGGCTGTCACACTGCAGTGTACGCACTCAGCGGCCCTTATTGCACCCGCAGGGTCGTGTTAAGCTAGTGGTCCGAGAAAGACATGCTTCTGAACTGCAGTGCTTTTTGCTGCATGTTTCGATGGTGTACGCACAGCTGGATTGCAGAAACCGACAGAGAAGACACTGCGAAACCATAGATGCTACATGATGCTACGGGAGTCGGGTGCCACGGTAAATACCGTGCAAACGAAGCTGACGAAGCTGCTGCGACGCCGCCACCGCCGCTGCCACTGCCACCCGCCACCGCCGAAATGAGACCACAAGCTACCACCACGATAACCACGACCAAAATCACGACTACCGACATCCAAACGACGAAGACATGCAGGGTGCCAATGATTACGTTTCGCAGTCACGATTTCCAACTGAGCACGGAAATGTATGAAACACTCATGCGGTGGAAGCCATGTCACGCCGCAAACAAAATGCATCTGCAGAGCCGGGAAATGCCTGGTTTTCTTTGGATGACTCAGATGAGCCGACTTTTTGGCGCTTTTTGGGTGGGTCCTGGCAGGACCAATACTGACGAAAGAGCAAAGTCTCGATGTCATGGCCTCAGGGCGTGTTTTTCCGGAGACTTTCCGCGGAGCCATGTTGACTGTGGCAAGCTCGGCACAAGTGATTTCGAGCCAGAGCCACATTCGGGTCAGCTACGCATACAGCTCCGTCCACGGCTTTGCAAATGAATCTCATCATATCCAACCTCTCGAACACCACAAGAGGTCTTGGGCTCTGACACCAGCTGACCTTGTCCTTCAATGAATTTCAAGCCATCCAGCACGCTCATGTGTTGGCTTCCATGGATCAGAGCGGCAACTACGGCCGTACCCGAAGCACGATGAAACTGCCACGGATCCAGCTCGGTATTTCGCATGGCAACAGGATCACGACCCTGAAAAAGGGACCCCTTCCGATTGCTGCAGCTAAGCGCCGAGCGAGGAGATGTCTGGATGGAAACCTCCTGCAACCTCATGTGGCGAATTGCGACTTAGCTGCCAGGGCCGACCTATCTGAAGCCAGTCCGCCACGCACCGCTCCCTTTTTCACACACAGTATCTACCCGCCGCCAGGTTTGCACAGCATCTTTGCTGCCAGCTGCCGGGGGAGGAAAACTCAGCCCAGTGTCCATCAAAGGACCCCAGCCCTGCTGTGCAGGCGCTCAACACTCAGATGTCCTTGTACTTCTGCATGGCAGATTTCACCTGACCCCAGCGCAAACAACAAGCCTCTTACGTGAAGCTTCCTCGCTTGCCATCAGAAAACTAACTATGCTGGCAGGTGTGCGCACGAGAAGTAAGATAGTGCAGGAACCAATAGGCACGAGCTCTTGCGTGCTGCTTTCAGAGTGCTTCTCCCACGTGTGCTCATGTGACACGCCTCCTCCTGCTGATTCGGGGGCACCATGCAGATGCACTTCTCCATGGTTCCGACGGGACCACCGCAGCAAGGAAAGAAGGGCTTAATGTAGGCAGGGGTTTTTTCGGCCATCTCGTCCTCAATCTTCTTCTTGGCCTGTGTAAACGTGTGGAACACATGACACGAATCTGCGTTGCAAAGCTTCTGTGTCAACAGTCCAGTCCTGCTCCTTCATGGCATCACCCATACCGCCCATCATGCTTGCCATCGTCCCGAGGGGAGCTTCAGAAAGGAACGGCACGTGATCTGAGGTTGCAAAGCGCTGCGAAAAGAGTGCTCATTGCCCAAAAATTGCACGAGCAGCATATACTTTCAAACATGGAAAGTGCTCCTCCGGGATAGTCTTTTTTGTTGCCTCCTGGTTCTGCTTCGGATCTGGGGACAGCACTTCGGAGTAACTTTGGCAAGCCCTGTACAGTTTGTGTCTGCTCTTTGTCAGGCTTCTGATGGAAAATGCGGGCAGCGAAACGGCCGACCCCCCTTCCTGCTGAAAATCGCGACCGTGGGCCTGTGCAAGTGCGAAGCCGCATCTGTAGCAATCAAAGGAGCAGGTTAGCAGGTCTGTACTTCCATCGGGTTTTGTAGGCTCAGGCTCGCCAAGACCTCCAACATACTCAAACGATGATGGAGAGCTCGCTTTGACTGCCTCCCACAGAGGCATGGGCGGCTTAATCTTGGGGCAGAAGCGGATTGGCTTCCAGCGGCCGTCCTGGTTTTAGGCTGTCCGTCATCATCCAGTCCAACACCCGAGCAGGTGACAGAAGCTTGCCTTAAGCGCACTTATTCATGCAAGGGCAGCGACGTGAACGTATCTGTTGCCATGCCAATGGGCAGTAGTGGATGCCAGGATATATCCTGCAAGCATCGGATGTCGTGACATGTCTAGCTCTAGCTATTCCCTTGGCACGGGCACGCCTTCAATCAACATCCGACACACTTGAGAGCTTTCCAACCCCCACAAGGCAATACTATAGCCGTCCTTGCATTGACATCGGTCAGCATGGACGGGGATTGTACTGCCATACATGTGCTGTTCTCCTTGAGGGCGAGCCTTGGCTTACGCAGTTTGGGACTGCTTCATCAAAGCTCCCATGCAAAAGTGTCGAGATTCCCCACAAGGCTTGCTCATCTCCAAACTGGCAACCGATCCTTGAAGACCCAGACGGGTCCGGCCACAGATGGCGAGTCATCCAGGAAGCACCAGCCACGGCCCTTCTCGCGATATCGCCGCAGCGTGCTCTCGGCTGCGAGCCTATGCCATTTAGTTTTCATGGAAGTCGCTCTTGCTGAAGAAGAGGATGACGAGGATGATGCGAATGATGAAGAGGTGGTAGAGGTGATGATGATGATGATGATGATGATGATGGTAGCGATGACGATGGTGGTGATTATGATGATGACGATGATGATGATGGTGGCGGGGATGGCCATGATCATGATGATGATCATGATGCATGCATGATGAAGCTGCTGCTGCTGATGAAGTTGATGAAGATGAGGATGGGGATGACGATGACGATGACGACGTTGACGATGACGACGACGACGACGACGACGACGACGACGACGACGACGACGACGAGGACGAGGACGAGGACGAGGACGAGGACGAGGACGAGGACGATGATGAGGATGATGATGATGATGACGACGACGACGACGACGACGAGGACGACAACGATGATGATGATGGTGGTGGTGGTGGTGGTGATGGTCATGATGATGTTGGTGATGCTCATGATGGTGACGACGACGACAACGATGACGATGACGACGATGATGGTGGTGGTGGTGATGGTGATGGTAATGTTGATCATGATGATGGTGGTGGTGGTAATGATGATGATGAGGGTGAGGGTGATGATGTTGTTGATGATGGTGGTGGTGGTGATGGTGATGATGATGATGCTGATGATGGTGAGGATGGTGACGACGACGACGACGACGACGACGACGACGATGAGATGGTGGTGGTGGTGGTGGTGGTGGTGGTGGTGGTGGTGGTGGTGGTGGTGGTGGTGGTGGTGGTGGTGGTGGTGGTCGTGGTGGTGGTGGTGTGGTGGTGGCGGCGGTGGTGGTGGTGGTGATGGTGATGGTGCTGGTAATGTTGGTGATGATGATGATGATGCTGATGATGGTGGTGGTGATGATGATGATGATGATGGTGATGATGATGATGATGATGATGATGATGAGAGCGACGACGACGACGAGGAGGAGGAGGACATTGCTGGTGCTTTTTGGTGGTGGTACCATGATACTAGTAGCAGGCAAGACACTGTTCGGCTACTTGCACGGCGACGCGGTTCATCGCGGCGCAGGGCAACCGTTGATGCTCTGGGTGTGTCTGGCCGGAGACAACATGGTGCAGCCCTGTTGCAAAATAATGGCGGGTTATACAGAGGCGCAAAGCTTGCACTCATTACTCCCTCATTGAATTGCAAAGTCTAGCTCGGCTTTCGACAACACCACATCGCCAAAGGGACAGTCTCATCTTGAAACAAGCATTTGGTACTGTCCAGTGGCCTGGAGCTGCTGGGCAACACGCTCTGCCGACAGCAACTTGCAACCTATCTCCTCGGCCGCCGTGATTTTGCCGGTGTTGCCTCATTGGGTTTGGCGTGGCTCGCGAAACCCCTGACCACGCGCTCTGCATCTCACACTCTCCCTTCTTCTTCTGCAAGACATAAGAGCAGTATAAGAGAGGAGCGGCAGACAGCCCTCCGCCTCTCGACTGGCGCTGCAGTTTCTCAGGCCCCCAACTCTCATCTGAAGGCGTGCCGGTCAGTGGTATTCTTGTGCTGCCGCGATACTGATGTCAGGATAGTAGTTCGCGTGGCTGCACGATCGGACCAGAAGCTTCTTCCCGTCCACCTCAGAGTCCAATCGCCCCCAACGCTAATTTCGCTGCAAGAAACGGCGGGGCAAAGAAGGGAAGGGCAGGGTTCCAAACGAACAGAAGGAGATGAAACTCAACATCCGCGCTTCGTCCTTCTTTGCGCTGTCGGAGTTCCGGTTCAGCCGCAGCGGTTTGCCTGAGGACCCTGCAGTCCAGGTCGGATGGCAGTGCTCCAGATTGGGAGACGAGATATGGAAGCCGTCTTGCACCTTCCAGTTACAAAGCGGCTGTGGAAGGCTTTTGGTTTTAGGAGTTCGGATTCTATAGATTCTGGGGGAGTTCATTCGAGGACAGATTGACCATAAACTTGTTCTACCAATCCGCCAGGGCTTCAAGAATGCTTCACGTGTATTGCTGCAGGATGCTGCATGCTCACAGCTCTATGCTCTTAACAGCGTGATGGGCAGCGTGGAAGATCGATGCACAGGCACACCTGCGGAAAGTACTCTGCATCACGAGAATACCACAGTCACATATATATATATATACATATATCATAGAGTCACCATGCTGCAACTGCCGCTAGCGTCTCTTTCGGGAACCGCGAACCGCAGCCTGCAACCGCTGCGCGTCCGCTGCACTGAGGCCGGCCAGGACATGTTGAGCCCGGCTGCAGAAAGGGCTCGAGCCTGCCAGATAGCGCCAGGTCATGCTCTGAGGAAGAGGTCGGCGCAGTCGCCCGAACCCCCGTCTTAAGGCTAAGGCTAAGGGGTCCACGTGGCGCTTCGGCTTTGAGTGGTGCCCCCGGAGCTGTCACGACGTCCAACAACACATACAGAAGCCTCCATCGCCCCTGAGCCCACTCTGCCCCGATCCCTGAAACCCATAAGAGGAAACCCCTGAGCTCTCAAGGTCGAAGCTGCCTTCTGAGCTTACGTTGTGGTCCGCTGCCCGTCTCTCCAAGTCTTGTGCCTGGCATGAGAAAACACGAGCTACACTAATCGTTCTCATCTACGCCAGCTTCTGGCCAGACTGCACACATTGTGGCTCTCAAATGGCACCTCGAGGTAGGGACTCAACAGACCTTCTGTCCACTCCAGCTGGCTCTTCAGGAGCTCAAGGGCCTGACCATCAGGCACCCTACGTCCTGAAAGGGTAAGGATCCTGAGAGAGAGACTAAGCCTCGCACTGAAGCTTTCTTTGCTTCTGCCCCCTTCCAATGGAGTGCCAAAAAAGCGGAGACCGTCTCACCAATGGTGCCTCGGGTCCAGCGACACTGACGGGAGAAGACCCCCTGCACCACTCACCAAGGCTCTTCTTGCCGCTCCGGGCTTCAGGGCCAAGCCACCCGTCGCCTCCTGCTGTCCCACCTGGTGCTTCGAATGCCGGACGATACACCGATGAACGAGACGTGCACAGGACCTCTGCAAGAAGGTCTCCGGGCACATCAAAGCCGGGACAGAAGTCCGAATGGTTCAGCTTCGGCAGCACCTCAGTTATCCAGCCCTTGCACAGAAAGCTACTCGCGAGACTTCCTCCCAAGGCTGCTGCGATCACTGGCTTGTCAGTGGCCGCAGTCTCCAAGCCCTTCTGTTGCCGAAGCTTCAGGAACTGATGCCACCACGTCGAGATTTTGCCCGGCCTCTGAGAAGGCTTGAAGGCTTCACAGGGAAAGTTCAGCCAAACCACATCATGCGCTGAACGCGGTAAGTATACTTACGCTCCAGCATACCTTAAATACATCATCATACCTACCTACCTACCGACCGACCTACCTACCTATATCCATGCATGCATGCATGCTTGCAGACACACAGCCATACAGACATACAGAAACGAATACAAACATACAAGCATGCATGCAAGCATACATACATACATACTCACTCACTCCCGCTCGCGGCAAGAGGGTCTCGCGATGCTAATGGCGATCCAAGCCGGCGTCTCTGTGGACGCATGCCATACATACATACATACATACATACATACATACATACAGCCATGCATGCATGACAGATACACATGCAAACGGCAGGAGAGTTGATATATTGATTTGATACGATTTGGTTGTATGTCCTGCATCAGTGACACCGGTGGTGTTGTGTCTGGCAGTCGTCGCCGTCGTTGCGATCGCAGTAGGTAGAAGGTAGCAGGTGTAGTAGTAGTCGTCGTCGTTGTAGTAACAGTATTACTAGTAGTAGTACAGCAGCAGCAGTAGTAGAGGTAGTGGTAGTGGTAGTGGTAGGAGTAGTAGTAGTAGTAGTAGTAGTAGTAGCAGTAGCAGTAGCAGCAGCAGTAGAAGCAGCAGCATCCAGCAAGCAACTGACAACCTGGCAACCTCCACTTGCAATTCCTCACGCCTGCATGTCTGACAGTCCTCTGCCCGGAAGCTGTCACGGGCTGCGGGCAGGGCATCGCGGCTTTCGTACCCCCCCGATGTCATGCCAAAACATCGAAACCACAAGGGTGCATACTGACGCTGAAGAATGCTATCGGGAGTGCCAAAACTCTCCGCAAGTTGTGTAGTCAGCTTGGATCAGCAACCTGAGCCTGAAATGTGGTTGGAGGTAAGACTGTTGATTCGAGAAACCCGCCACCCCAGCTGTGCAGCGCAGGGTCTGCGGGGATGTTGCGCAACACCCGACCCTCCCCGAGCGCCCCGCGGCCCTGAGACTCTTTAGATCGGCACTCCACTCGAAGCACACTGAGAAAGCGATCTGTGAGGGCCATCAGTCGATGTCGTGCAGTGTGCCGTACCTGGAAATGATGGGGGTTGTGGACAGCAGATCAGGCTCCAGAATGAATCTACTTCCAAACGGCGCCCCGGTCCAAGCAAACAAGACCGCTGCAGTTCTTGGGTGGTTGATGCGCGGTTGAGACAAGTCGGGGCAGGGCATGAGCTGATGCCGGCACATCGCTGCGAAGCATCAGGACTAGACGCTGGCTCCTCAGCTCTCTGCTCTTAGCTTGTGGGGCCCAGTAGGGCCCAGTCGCAACACCTCCGGTCCGGGGGGCACTCAGCGTAAGGCTTTCCAGGCTCGTCCTCTCCGAGGCCGAGGGCCGCTCAGGGAAGCTCAGGGAGGCTCAGGGAAGCTCAGGGAAGCTCTAAGAGTCCAAGACTAAGAGACCGCGTCTCTACGGCTCTGAGTGGCTTTGCTCTCGCACGGAAACCAGTGACTGGAACTCTTCGAGCACCGCAAAAAGCCCCTCTGGGATTCCGAATACAGGCCTTTCCGTGCGCCAGCCCGGGACGGAGCTTCTGTCCGAAAAGTGTCCTGGCAAGGCCGCTTCTGAGGTTGCGAAGACCCCGAGCTCCCAGCAACAACCGCCAGGGCGGCTGCTCGAACTTCTTCGCCTCAGAGGAAGATGCGCCCATCGCTCTTGGCTGCCACTGAAAATCTTCATGCCTTGATCTCCTATCTGACTCTCCATTCAGCGATTGCTTCAACGCTGGCATCGCAAAGGAAGTTGATGAATCGTTGTCGCAGCAAGCAGAGGAAATACACAACAAAAGCTGAATGAAATGACTGAACCTTGTGCAGTGAGCATGCGCAGGCCACAAATACAGCAGACGGCACGAGGCACAAACAGCAAGAAGTAGACAAACTAAGTACCGCTGCTCTTATGTATACACAACCGATGGATGCTGTGCATCATGGAGATCGCGTGATCTGACAACCGGAGAACGGGTGTTTCTTCGCCAAGCTTTTCTGCTTTGCAACTTGATCAACTTGCGCGAGTGCACATGCTGCGCCTTTCTTGCTGGCCCCACCGGACGAGCTCAACACACTCCACTCTTCATTTGCACACGCAGCGTGCACCGTGTATCACCGCGTTTGGTGTCTCGCCGACAGTGGATGCAATCGACTTTCTGAGGATGTCAATGACTCTTCAAGCTCGAGCAGGGTACTATTCTCTTGTGGAGCCGGAGAAGCAAAGACGTTCTCACCGACTAGCAAACGCTCCAAACTTGCCCCAACAATCGGTATAGAACAGGCATCATTATGTCGAAGTCTCTTGGAGTCCCGTATGGGTCTAATTGATTTGCAGCTTCGAAGTTGCCGGGCACCTGCTTTTCCCGTCGAAGCTCTGCCATGCGCTGCGCGTCTTCCTGGGACCTGCTGCAGGGCAAATCAATCTGACGAGGGCTCTGTACGCAGGGCTTCGGATTTCTGAGCGGTGTCCTCTGAGAGATCCTACTTTAGCCAATGCTGGGTGGGCACTTCACCGCTCTATTTACGACAACGGGATTGGAGGTCCCGGAAAGTGGTCTGAAGCTCTGCTTGTGAGAAGCCTCGATCTTGGCACAGAGATGTTGAAGCGCCCATGCAAGTTCCGCAACAGAGCCTGCCCGATGCTTCCTCCTTCCTTGCCTCCATAGCAGCCTGCAGATGACATCACGAGCAGGAGCTGCCCTTTGAAACACACACACTCTTCAGGAGCTCGAAACGGCACGGAAGCACTGTCACCTGAGGCCCCGACCCGCTCTGCCAGGGGAGACTTCAGAAGTTGCACAAACCTTACCGCAACTTTCAGAAAAATTGGAGGCTTTGGTCAGGTTCTGCTCTCCGACTCGCCAACTCCAAACCACTGGTTTTGGCGATGAAACGGTTCCTGCTTTCGATCATCGCAGCCATCTGCTTCAACAGCACACGCTGCCTGCATGAATTGGTTTTTGCGCCTTCGATTCAGCGGAGTCTAGCTGTTGCCTACTAGCTCGTGGAACCCTCTAGCAACTGTTTGTACTGTTATGTCCGAGTTGGCCACCTTGACTGGCACGCACACACACACACACACACACCACGAAAGCAGAAAGGGAAGCGTCGCATGTTCTCGTATTGTCCTGACCCACACCGTATGAGGTGGATTGAAGCCTGTTTGCCGGCGTGCCCATGCGTAAGGCATTACATGTATCTCGGTCTTGCTTCGAGAGGCTTCTCTGAAATCGGACAGTTTCAGCACCATGCATCTGAGTAGTTTCAGCGATGTGCGATGCAACAGTTGTGGGAGGTCAAACCATGCTTTGCACCGGATGTATGACCGGCGGGGAGCTATCGCAAAGCTAGTGCGGCTTGTTGAGTTTGCTTGTCCCACAATGCAAGAACAGGGTCGCAGTTGCAGCGGGGGCGGCAGGTCAAGGTGCTTACCGGGAGATGGATGATAGAAGCACAAGCACCACTGGGCGGCATTCTAGACCAGAGTGGCATAAGCCACCTCCCAGTGCCTTGGCATCCTAGCTGAGGTGCACAGCTGTACCGTGTGTGCAAAGTCTCCCCAAAGCCTTGCCGAATCTACCACTGTAGATGGTCAGATAGGTCGCTGTGACAAATATCACGACTGGGCGCCAGACGCAACTTGACCGTACTCCTGCGCCAGCTGCATTGCCGTGAGGCCTTTTCCGCACGGGCGGACACGGCTTAGCGATCGCAAGATGCCAAAGTACGACCGCTATCAAAAAGCACGCTGCACTTTGCGAACTCGCCGCTTTGCCAAAGCCGGAGGTCGGAGCTCGAAAGGCGATGCCGGATGCCGTCAGGGCATTCGAGGAACGGCAGATGGGCCAGGCCATTCGTTCCCGCCAAGCGCTGCTCTCCAAGGCTCGGACCGCTAGAGCTCTCAGCCAAAGGGTTCGCGCGGTGAGTCAGCAGAGTCTCTCCCAGGCCTTACCCGATCCGAGGACTCTCAAGGTTTCTGCAATGTCTTCCCCCCCCTCCAAAATCGCTCGGGAAGCGAATGCGATGCCGGGAACCCTCTGGGCCGCGCGCCCTCCAAGCCGGCAGCGGCAGCCTCCGTTGACCCAGGAGGTCCGCTACTTGCAAAGTGACTCGCAACATCTGCGCCGTACAACAATGCAAGGGGATCCCAGCGGCGGAATGGGCCGGGATGACGGCTTCATGCGGGAGTGGAAGCGGGTTCCATGACTTGTGCGCCTAGATTCCGGATGCTGCTGCTACTTCTGCTACTACCGCTACGACTACGACCACGACTACGACTCAACTACGACTACTACTACTACTACTACTACTACTACTATTACTACTGCTGCTGCTACTACTACTCCTACTACCACGACAATTCAATTGCACGCGGCGCGAGCGGGCTCTGCGCATTGCGGGCAAGTAGCCGCCTTGGCACTCACAAGCAGTGAAACCGACCTATGCTTCAAGAGCCAGCTGGTTGCAAGCTTCGCCTCAGCCCGAACATAACTGATGGCTGATAGCCAAGGGCTCCAGAGACTACGACGGGAGCTAGCTACCTATCGGCC